CGGTTGGCCTCTGCCAATTTCAGCGAGTATCGAGCGGAATAGGGGCAGCGGAGAAAGGAGAGAAAGAGGACACGGAGGAGTGTCATCGAAAGAGAACAGATTGGCGGGATTGCGTAATGAAGCTTGCGACGCCGTCGAAATTGGCAATGACGCTGACAAGATCGAGGCGTCGCGGTCGTGCCCTGAAATAGCTTATGATCACACCGGGTCTGAGTTAAGTGCCACGATGTCGGCGTTGCAGACTCAAATCTCAGGCTCTTCATCGGATCTTGCTGGTACTCGTTCAGACGGGATAAGTGCGTGCGAATCACAACGTGTTCTATCGGCGTCATCCCCAGTTGAATGTTATTGTGCAGTGAGGGCTTTTGTCGGCGATAGAGCTCAATATCGAGCAAGTGCAAGTGGAACAGGTGAAGAGGAAGAGAAAGAGGAAGAGGAAGAGGTCGAGAGTTCCCGACCCTTCGGTTACAAAGTGTCTTGTGAAAAGAATAAAAACGTTGTCGAGGTTGCGGAGCCGAAAAAGGAAAATAAACGGAAAGTTGAGGAGCTGGATGAAAAGAATCAACTTGAGACGGTAAAACTCGAAGGTGAAAAACGTGTCGTCGATTCCTGTTTCAAGGTCAAGAGCCAGATTGAAGATAAAGATCATAACGACCGCGACTGTGAACTCAAAAATTTAGGGATCACCAGTGAGGGGCAAGGGGCCAACAAAACCGAGGAATCCCAAGTGAATACCGCGAGTGTTGGAGATAAAATAGAAGAGTGGGAAAGGGAGAAACGCAGAGAGAAAGAGAGGACTGATGATCCATTGAGATATCAAGTGGACGGCGAGAATAACCAGAGTACGTTGCATGAGTCAAGAGAGGCCGCTGCTGGCATATGTTTCGCTGATACTCCCGCGACTGAAGTTTTGTACGAGTCTTCCAGCAACGTCGAATGCGCTCCTCCAGACACCTGTCACGCAGAATTTATTTCTGGTTCAAGTGCGAGTGAAAACACTTCGGAATGTGCCGCGAAAGATTTGTTCTACGTGCCGCGGGAGGATACGTGTGATTTTTCGATTTCGAAAGGTAAACACCGCGATTGCCCGAGTTCGCTGACGGAGCTGAGCATCAGAAAAATTCTGTCTATGCCCTACGGCCTAAAAATAATAAACGAGATAACTCATCCGCTATTCAATATCTCTGTAAAGAAAGAGGAAGGAAAAAGTTGTGAAAATCTTAAAAGTAGTGGATTGGAAGAAGTGGATTCAGCAGTTAAAGTTGTGGAAATGATAAAGAGACGTCCGAAAAGTTGGATGGGCGTTCCGACGAGTGAAAATCCGCAGCTGCTGGTTTGCCTCTCGCCGTCCCAACAGAACTTCAATACTGACAAGAGTCTAAAGGGTTCGAATAAGAGCCTGGAAATACGCTTCCCCGACGCAGACAAGCTTCTTGATCTTCACAAAAAGTTTATGAACCGGCGTAGCTATCACGATTCATCGGTAGATAATCGTCGTGGTGGTGAGTCGTTTGCGATACCAAAGTATTACCGAGTAGAAGTTAACTCGAGTAAAGAATCTACTGGAAAAGACCTCGGCTTACCAGAAAATAAGCTTAAAAGTCAGCTTGAGCAATCGAACCAATCTAATCGAGTTACTGGCTCGTCATCCAACCGACTTCTCAAGATCATAAAAGAAAATCCGATCGACAACCAACAGTGTTTGCTTCTCAGAGCAACCCAAGAGCCTGTCTCTGTCTCAGGGAATCCTCATAAAAATAATAATGTCAGACAAGATCGTTCCAAAAGTACACGGCTTTCAGAATGGTTGACTCTCGCAAGAAACGACCCCACGGACTTTGCCAAGTACCAAAAAATATACTGTCATTCTGATACTCGGCGAGATCATTGTCAAGATAATTTACCCAGCGCATTTAGTCCAGTGAACCGCAAGGACACGACCAATAAAACTCAGCATTTAAATACTAATATTAATAGTGAGAGCATTAATGACGATAATAATAACTTAGAAGGTAAAAACATTGAAGGGATTAGTAATCCGCGAGTTAACAGTGCATTGATAATACGCTCACCGGAGTCAAGTAATGAAATAATTAATACCAGGACATTGAACAAGAGTCCAATTACCTACAAGAGCGCGATAATCGACAAGTCGTGGAGCGTCGAGGACCATTGGAACCGGACACCAGTGCTGTGTCGTGGTATCGATCCGGGACAGGTGAACCCCGCGTTGATTAATAACGACAAGCCAGAAACACCAGCTCGTCCGAATAGAGTCCAGAATCTTGTGGTCGATCGGTCCTGCATTGACACCACCAGTATCTTTGATAAAATACCCCCGCGGAGGTACTTGGCGCCACGCAGATATCACCATCCGGAAGTGGAGGCACTTAACCATCGTCAAGCTATCACCGGCACTAACGCGGGCATTGTCGAGAAGAAAGTGCCAGAGGAAGAGGACAAAGAGAATAACCACCGAGAGACTCTTCAGGAGAATCTAAAGCGATTTAGAGCGGCTAAAGACATTAAGGAGCTCACTGATGCCCGCAGACGGCACTCACTCCCCTCTGAGCTCTTTGACAGACAGTTGGAGTACATTAACCGTCTTGAGGAGGTTATACACTCTGAGGTAAAAATAGGTGAAAATGCGAAAACGGAAATGGAAGATGATCAGGATAAAAGTTATTACGGGGAGGATAATGGGCGGCAGTCTTGGAGGAGCCAGTCGAAAGTTTACGAGAAAGATCGCGAGGAGATTCTCACCAGTGAGGGTCATCTCGAGCAGACAAAGAGTTGTCAGGTCACTGAAGATGGCTGCCGAGTCGAAAAGTCGATAAGGACCTTCGAAAGTACTGAGGAAAGGAAAAGCTTCTTCTTATGGACTTTGAAAAATGAAAATAGGGAGGCTCCGGACGCCGCTAAGTGTATGAGGTCCTTTGACGGGGAAGAAAAAAGGAGGAACGATAAGATGGAGAAGGATGAGGGAGCCCCAGATACGTATCGAGGGAAAAGCGAAATGTTTGACGGTAATAAAATGATAAAACCCACCGGCAAGTCCATTTCAATCTTCCCTACCACCGACGAGACCCTTCGCGGGAAAATGTACGACGAGTACAGAGATAAAGTGCTCGAGCGCGAGGAGAGAAAACATCTTAAGGTTATAAAAATTAGCTCTCACGTCGATTTCCCCGGCTCTCATCCCGGAAAGCCTCCTGATAAGAGTAATAGCTTGAACAGCATTCAGAGGGAGTTTATAGAGAAGGCCAGAAATAGGATGACTAAGTTCGGGATCAATTTGGACGACAGCGAGACCGAAATTGCTAAAGAGGACACCGGTCCTCCCGAAACCGCTGAAAGCACTTCTGGTTTGAGCTCGAGTTATATCACCACTAGCTGCAGAACCGAGGAGACTACTGGCCAAATAATAACGAGTGAGGTCAAGGAGAAAAATATATGTGAGTGTCGTCGCGATGAAAAACCCAAGTGTCTTATCGACGGAAAAGAAATCAAAGACGTTCGGAAACTTCCCAAGCACCTACAGGAGTTTCTGGTCCTTGCAGACACTGATACGACTCCCCCTCATCATCATAACCATGATCATCATCCTGACGGTGAGTCTTCCGAGAATTGTCCCGTTGGATTGATTTTTTGTGCTCGTCTTGTGTGTTAGGTTCCCACTGAAAGCTCGAGAGTGCTCCAGCTTATAGTGAACACTGTTTTTTTTTTTCGTTTTTTATCCGACTTAACTTATATATTATTTTGTACTGGAGTTATCCTAACAACTAACCCAACAAGCTACTCAGTACTACACTGAGTTTATTATATTTTTATTTTTTGTGTATTATTGCTTTTATTGCCAAGTTTCATCGTTCCTCGGCTACCTTTGTGTCTCGTTTATTATTTAATACTGCGGGATTATTTATTTTTATCGAGATTAAATTCCGTCTGAATTGAACTCAAATCCACTCGCCGGCTCCAAGTGGAACGTTTTTGTAATATTTTTATTTTAACATTATAATTTATAAGAGAGTCCATTTTTGGAATTGATAAAATTGACATCTGAAATCTGGTCACAACCCGAAATATCGCAGCCACGTTAATTAATTATACTTAATAGGTGAATTCATTTGATAAATTCAGTTTTATAAATGTCAATTAATCCGATTATTGAGGTGTTTATTTTTGTTGGTTGATTTGAATAATTTGTTGATTTAATAAAAATTAATTAATTAGTTCCTGGCGGAATAGTTATTTTGGAAAATACTCCGACTGCTTTGGAAATAATTAATTGATTAATGATCAAATTTTCATTTATTTTAATGATTTTTTTTTTAAAGCTTGAAATATCTTAGAAAGTATTTTGACTGCGTTTTTTGTGCAGTCAAAGCAGATCACTGGGATGACATTTTGTTTTAACTCTATCGTGCAACAGAAATGAATTTATTTATAGACTTGTTTACTCTGTTATTTTCATTCATCTTATCGAGAGATTACTTTTTATTTTTATTTTTAAACATTTTATATTAATAAAATTTTTTTTTTTTGGCCATGAAAATTTACATAATATAAAAAAAATATCAATAAAAAAATTATTAAGAACTTTTTGATACTAATAAAAAAATATCATATTTCATTAAATTATTCTCGATGTAATACTTGAAAATTTAGCAGCATTAAAAATAAAAACTATTCAATTTTTTGTCTGATTGATAAAAAATTATAACAGCGCGATGAAGTGAATGGATATTAATTAAAATTTCTTAATAAAAAATTAACGTTTCAAAATTCACAACAAAGTTTATAATTCAATATTGACCGCAAAGTTCATCATTTAAATTTGAGCCGATCATAATAAAATCACTGGATAATAAAGGAGTCTGTAGGAATAATTAATTAAATCAAGCGATAAATACGAGACACGTTTAAACGTACATAAACAAATATCGTGGATTATAAACGTTTCAAAATAACTGACACAGTAAACTCGGATTGCGGTCTATTTATAAAGAGTAATAATAGATCACCGAGAATACAGACGGATTAATAAAATCCAGCACTGCGCGACTAATTAACTGTTAATTAATAATTAATATCAATACAGACGGCGTTAATTAGTCACTTCCTGAATTAAAATTCTGTCTACTAAATATCGACATACTCAATTGTCAATGTCAAAAATTATTTCTCTAATTTTTGAACAAAATTTTTAAAAAATATTTATAAAAATAAAAATACATAATTTTTTTTGTAAAAAAAAAAGCTTGAAGAAAATTAAAAATTGTAACATTTGTAACTGCGGTTCCATCGGATGGTGATAAATGTTGCGGAGAATTTATCAGTCCTCGCGTTAACGTAGTGCGAGCATATCCGCTGCTCGACACTAAACCAGCGGGACTATATTTAAACCCGTGGTACTGATTTATATATACACATAACATATAACACAGAGCAGAGCAGAAAGCAGAGAGCATTAGAGTGCAGGATCGGATGAGTAGAGGAGAAATAGGCCACTGATCTGTTAAACTCTGCTCTGGACCGACATAGACACCGCTCGAGTATGTACGACAGAACATCCCAGTTAACACGGGAATACGAAAGCTCAACAGAAGCTACAACCTACAATCTAGAGCCTACAATCTATCTACAACCACCTTAAAACTTTTCTCAAAACTATTCCCGTCTTTAGTCTTGACAACTTACACACAAGAGAACTTCCAGCCATACTAAGAGTTTTCACTTTGGCACACTGCATGTAGACTAGAACCATTCCTGTGTGTTTACTGTCGCGCACCAGACACGTAGAGCAGTCTTTAGTTTAACCTATCGTCGTGTTATCGGATGCTGAATGCATTAAAACTTTGCCTCACCACCTTTCTAAGTAAATAAATAAATAAATAAATAAATAAATAAATAAATAAATGAATGAATGAATGTAAATAAAGTTTGTCGAATTAGCTATCCATGATTCATGACTCACTAGATCACCGAGTCTATAAATAGAATAATTTATCTTTATATGCATAATTTTTTTATGACAGAGTATTGTTTGTAGAATAAAATAAAAACCCGGTTTTATATTTACTGAGTGGATTTTAATGCCTACTTAACTCGCTTTTATCCGTCTGTGAATTGAATAGCCGTTGCTGTGAGTTAAGTTGCATGTAAGTATTTGTAGTTTAGTTGGTGATACAGTAATCCCGGTGGTGGTAGTGAGGTAGTTTTGTTTTATTTAAAATGCTACTTTTAGTCTTTGGCACTTGGGCATGCTTTTTTGGTTGAAGGGTATGCCATTGCGGCTGGAAAGAAAACTAATGGCGGTGATTTGCTACACGAGATCGACACGGCTCTGACCGAGTCCAAAGGTTTTCTTCTGAGGCAAGGTGCGTTTCATTTATTTTTATTATTTTTGCTAGTACCAGTCCTGTCTTTCTGTGTGGGAACAGATTTTGTCTAATGGGGAAAACATCGCTGTTACTAACGTACTAACTCTAATTGTCCTGTTTAAATTTAGTAAATATTTTAAATTGAAATTCTGGGCAATTGGAGATTTTATTTTGGAGGCAATTTAATTTCCTTATCTATTTTTATAGATCGCTTATTTCTTATGCAGAATTTCAATTTAAAAAATTCTGTGATATTCATCCCCATGGAAAAAAATTTATATTTTATTTACTTAGACAAATATGAAAATATTTTAAATCCTTACAATTTTTTATGAGCTTCATTTTTTGGTTTTAAATAATTTCAAAAAATTAAAAGATTTTTTTTTTCAAATCATTTTCATCAATAGTTAATTTATGATGATAAGTATTTAAGCTAAATTCAAAAATATTCTAGCTTTAGATGGATAATCAAGAAATAACCTTGTATCTCGTGAACTATTGACATTTTTAAAGATATAAGCTCATCCCGATGTTACACTCATCAAGACCTTTCATTTGAGTACCCACATCAATTTTTCATATATTTATACATTTATAGGTATAAATGAAAAATATATGAAAATGCATGTGGGTACTTAAATGAAAGCTTTTGATGAGTATAACATCGGGATGAGCTTATATCTTTAAAAACATCAATAGTTAAAAAAATACAGTGCAATTTATCAAAAGTCATTATTTAATAAAGCAAAATTTTATTTATTTATATTTCATAAATCACGACAGTCACAAAGTGACTGCAAGGTTGCTAGTTCTCGATTATTTGTTCAATTTAAAAAACATTTTCATGTATATTGAATATAAATATTTTTCTATGGAGATAACTAAGAATAAAACACTAATTTTTTGCTAATAAACTTAAAACAGGCTTATTAGTCCCTTACCAATAAAAAGTAATCTGTTGAATTAGCTTCCCAGGATAAATCATAATGATAACTTGATAATAATTAACTAAACATTGAAACACCGTATGATAATAATAAACAAGCGGCATTTGGATGTGATTAAATAGACAAATTTACTCGCTTGTTCAGAGTAACGAGTGCATTATTATTCACATTTAAATGTGTACACAGAGGATTGTTCTCCTTCTCCTCTGCAGTACATACAACGACAGAGAATCAAGAGTCGAGAGTGTAGAGTGCAGAGTGGAGAATGGACTAGATTGTGAAATGATTATTGGCGACTATCAATCAGGACATTCTGTAACTCAGCAATAAATTTAAAACGTGACCATTTCGCGTTCCGGTTTTCTCGTTAACTTCTCGCTCCTGATCCTCTGCTCGTCCAATAGGATAATTTACCCATTACAACCAAATCAAAAATAACAATTACAATAATTAGTTTTTTAACTCACCCCTCTGCCATTTTTATTTAAAGCTCCTATCCCGATTTCTTGAAATGTGAGGCTCCTGCAAAACGAAAGATTTGTGAAAATTCCCCGCGATTTATCAATAAAAACAATCTGAGGATGGGACTGTTGGTACTTACCGTGCAGCACCGGGAATTCTGTTACGCTGCAGTGGTATTATACCCTCAGTCTGGTATATAGAGAAGGTCCGCGTTGCGAGCGATGCAATTTCATCGGGGAGAACGTCACCGGAAAATACACTTGACTTCTGAAACGGAAACCCAATAAGAAACTCAATTCGGCGAATCTGCGGCGTCTTCAACGACGTCTCCGTCTTTCAATACACAATATACTTACTCTGTACTCTGTACTCTATACTCAGCTCTGCTCTTATGCCGCTGTATCCGGTGGTGTGTACTCTCCGGCTCGAGACTGTTTGCTACACTTACTGTACTCAGTATCCGCTATACACACTCCAAGAAATATTTTACCATCCGTCCAGTGTTCTTTATTCTTTATTCCTCATTTTATAACTTTTATTTTTTATTATTCCGTATTCTTTCTCAGCTTATTTCATCCCTTCAGGCGCTTCCGCCCTTCCATCTTCCATCTAGAAATTCGATTTAACGTCGTTCCATCGAACTTTCTCGTTCTGAAAGTAAATGTTGTTATCTCAATGTACCTAGACGGCACGCGAAGAATCGCAATTGAGGTCACAATAAGACACGTGTTTAGTGTCAACAAAAAAAACAACTCTTTCTCCCTCCTCCCTTATTTCGTGTGCTGTGAATTTTTAATGCTACTTTTTTCAACTACACCTTCTATTCTGCAAATAAGTAAATAAATAAAACGATAACTATAATTCTAAAGCAAATATCAAGGCCTAAATCTTTCAATTACTCGATTTTTATTGATAAAATATTTTTTAATTGTTGATAAATTATCATTATTTATTTTTTATGTGTTCTGAACTAGCCTCATATCATAATTGACCTTATTAAGTCAATTGTAGGGATAATTAATTTTTTTTTCAAAGTTAGTTTTAAAAATTTACAACAGGTGGCGCATGATCGCTAAATTATCTCCCTATAGGAGAGTTAATTTTTAAAATATAAATCATTTTATAACTTTTTTAGTGTCTCTTTTATATTGGCTTCTAATTAAATCAATTACCAAGCCAATTTTTGTTTTTATTAAAAAAATAAATTAATTAACAGAAATTATTTCTAAAAAAATTTTATTGATAGTTTTTTACAATTTAAAAATTTTTTATTTAATTAATTTAGAAAAATTATTAATTAAATATTTTTGTATTAGATAATTTTATAATCATTTAAAGATCAAAAATTCATTTTTGTACAGCCTGATGTTGTTTAATTATGAAAATTAACAGTAGAAAATTCCCTGAAGGGTTCCAACATTGTACAAACAAGAACTGAACCTTGCAAAATTTCTCGGGTGTAATGCAACCGAATAAGTCTAAGCTTATTATTTACGGGAGAAATTAAAGGAACCAAAAACAAACCATTAGAGGGAAAGAGAAAAGGTTGAATCCGTTTGATCTTATTCGGGGACTTAAACTAAGCTCGGGTGTTTAACGTCACCACGGATAGGATGTTTTGCCGTGAACTATATATATATATATGTAAGCTTGGTGAGTGCTGGCGCGATTGCAAGAGAAGCGCTGGGCGTCGCGACGCCTCAGTCTTACTCCACCTCTCGTTAGTGGAGCCGGGGTTACCTCGATCTCGGTCTGACTTAATTTTCCTAGTCCGAGGCTACCAGTAACAGTGTGTAGTTAAAAAAAGTAAGATTGTGAATCTACCACGTGACACTTTTACTTTTTTATTCTTCTCCGAGTTTTATTTAAAGACGCTGGTGGATTTAATTGTGTGTTTGAGTTAACTGTTCTTGTTGTTCTTCGGATGCTTTTTACATAAAATAAAAAGTGAGTGGTTGTTGGTTTTGTTCGGTAGTTATTCAGTAGTTACTCAGTTCCTCGACAAATCCGAGATTTTAAAAAAATTAGTAGTCAGGTGGTTGGCTAGTTAGTTCATTAGTTGTCAGTCTTCCGACTGGTGCTTAGTCCGGATGGAAAAATCAAAGAGCTTACGAAGTAACCGGAGATCCAACAGGTTGTCTCTGTAAAGGAACTCCGTTCAAATGACCGCAAGTTAGCGACACAGATCGTACTTTAACAACCGCTAAAACTTTAGCCGACATTGTTTATTTACGGAATATTATTGTGATTATTTTTATTATTAAGCCGCTCAGCTCAGTGGGTTAATAAAGTCCGAATAAATGGAGTTGAGGCGGAAGTTTTAGATAATTGTGCAATCCACGGTGGGTCTTTCCTAATTTTGCCGTAACGTTGTTGCGTAAGCAGATATCGCGTTACGGAGAATATATACCGGGACGTACTAAAAGCTCATGTCATAAATAATTGTAAATGCGGTAGTGGGCCGGAAGTCGGCTTTTACTCGCTATTTAAATAGTTGTATTAATAGATTTAATTAAATAAATTAAAAAGCCAGAGGTCAGATAGTCTACATTCAGATTACGGAGTGTAGAGTGTAGTTTCTAGAGTCCACAGTCGGGATTTGAAATTGGGTTTTATTGAAAAATAATAACTTTTAACGGTCTCTGCACTCGAGGCAATTACTTGACGTTATTAAAATAGAAACGTAATATATTATCGAGCGTTAGTTATACGGATATATATGCTGGTACATTATGAACTAGGTCCAAGAATAATATTTAAATTTACATCCCGGAGTTGGGA